TGAGCTGAACACATTTAACATAATTCAAATTGTCAATTCGCGTTAATTTTATTTATAAAAGAAAATTATTTGTTGAAAATATATAAAAAAATAAAAAGTATGTAATAATTATGAATCAAAATCGCAAGATTTTACCAGTTAACATACGAGTACTACCATCTATATAGACTTAAACTATGTTATTCAAGTTGATAAAATTTAAATAAATAATTGAAATATATTAATATTTGATTTAATATCTCATAAACATACGGTGTAATAAATTAAGATATTACATTATATCTAAAAATAATGAGTATGGAGGTAAATATAAAATTTGAGTGTAAAATCTTACATTTATGCATCTTTATCGATTTTATTACATATACATTTTTATTTTTTTATGTTCATATCTTAAATTATCAGTTTCTTCTACTTCAAACAGTTTTTCTACCTGAAAAAACTACTTGTATAATACCTGTTCTTATGTTAATATAATTTTTTTATTTGTTATATTTTAGCGTCAATTTAATGGTGTTATTTCTTGAAATATCTAGTTATTATATAGATATTTTAATCAAATAAATAAAATATAACATGAAATATTAAATTTAATTTGGCATTTTATAAGTTTCCTGTCATTATTTAATTTAAAAAAGACGATATTACTAGAAGTTACGACTAAATCTAATCTGACGTCCCGATAAATTTATTATTTTTATTGTGATTGAACTCTCGTCAAGTTATTTGCAGTGAATCATTTTGATTCATTTTTTTTTTAATTCTGTTCAATATGGCCATATGGTCATATGAATGAAGAAATAATTGTTACGAAAAAAAAAATTTTACGATAAAAATTAAACTTTACATCTTGACTTCAGTAGTTGTAAATAAATTTGTTTTTGAAATTCTATCTTACAACAAAAAAGTTGTACCAACAGAGCTTTTAATTAATAATCAAGTTTCAACTATAAAATAATAGAATGTAAGTCAGAATTTATTATTTTAGATTTAGAAAAATAGAGTCAGTTTATGTTTAAAAATATTCATTCACAAGCCAATAGTTATTTTATTTAATGATCTTAGTAAAGTTATTCTGTAAACTATTAACACTAATAAATTATTATTGTATTTACAAAAAAAAAAAAAAACGTACATCCAATTAAAAAGTAAAAAAATAAAAATAACTCCAAATTTCTTATGCTTATAAATGAACTGAAAAATAACAAAATATTTTTAAAATTTTATCATTAATAGAAAATTATAATATATGTATATTGTAACTAAAATAAAAAAAAATAATAATAATTACTTGAAAATAGCTTTAAAAAAAGAGTGAGTCAAAATATTTTAAAATCTATATTATGTATAGAAAATAAAGATTTACGTAAAAAATTCCTGTTTTTTCGATAATTTTAAAAAATACTGGTAATTATGACTTCTTTAAACAACAAACTAGGTCCAATTTCTTATCTAAAATTATTTTCAAAATTGAAAATCGAACCACTTTTTTTAATTACTTATCGTGTCACCAACAAAAAAAATATCGTTGTTAAATTAATATACTCATCATCTACTCAGAATCTAAAAATTAAACATATTTTCCTGCACATAAATATATAAAAATTATACATAAAGTAGTGTCGTTGTGTTTATGATTCCCAAGTTATGGCTAAATATTTAATGCGATAAAAGCAAGGTACCTATATGAAAAACATTAAATCGCATAAAAAAACTGATTTTTAATGGTTTTAAGTATTTAACTTAAATATATTTATAAACATATTATGTATACGCATTTTAATGTTATATATATTATACGATATAGGTATAATAAAATATAAAGTAGAAAATATTTATTTTGTAAGTAATGTCATGTAAAATTTAATACCCTCACAAATAATATCTACACAATATTCTCTGTTAGTCTCATTTCGCCTTCGATAGCTACACAAGTAAACCAGTGAACACGTGTTTATTATTTTTTTTTGTTAATACTCGTATTACGTAGAAGCACAATAATTTATTTTTAAGATGTCTAAAAAATGTCTAAAATCAATTTAATCATCACAATTCTTCTATTTCCATTATTTTTCTATAAACGATCAATTTCATTAAATACAGTTAATAATGTTCCAGCTATTCTTTGTTAAAATATTATTTTCACCATTTAAATAATAAGATATAATATAGATAAATAATGAATAAAATAATTGTTGGTATATAGAGTGTCAGAGTTGTATTGTAATTATCATGTGACGGGTATTATATTTGATTAATTGGTAATATTTAAAATATATAAAAACAGAATAGTTAACATATCACTAATACGATTCAATAAACAAATATACAAAAATACCCATAACCATATATTCACTAAACCTTATGTCTATCAGTAGGTCACCCAATAATAATAGAAATAGATCATTATTTTCACTTCCCATTAAAAAGACACTAGAAGCTAAGAGAAACCCCCGTTAGTCCGTCTATCTTTCTATATCTGTAACATTTGTCATACACATTAATTTAAAACAACCGTAAACACACACACACACACACACATATATATATATTCGCAGTTATATTTAGTTTCACATAGTCATATTTTTTCTTTTATAAGTATAAAATTATTCTTTATTAATGTTAATATTTTCACTTTAATTGAAGTAAAATAATATTCATACTTTTTCTCCCACATCTATCATTAAAGCCCGGAAAACATACTTCAATACTTGTTAGTATAAGTGTATAACTCATATTTATCTCTTTTGAAAAAATCCATCTCTTACTTTATTTATAAGTGATTTATATCATCCTATTTTAATGATTAAATTATTGTTCATATTTATTTAAAACACTTTATAATGCACTTTCATAATAAACTTAATACATTAATATCATAAAATACAATACTATTGAAGTAACACTAATGGTAGTATTATCGTTCATCAAATTCACTTATACTTACTTAAACAAATATTATACTTGAATAGAAAATAAATAAAAGATATATTATACAATTAAATGAATTATAGTGCACAATACCACTATAAATAGTAGTAGGAGATAAGAAATTGAAATATTATTCACACGCATACTTTGATACCAACCTCTCGTTTTTGATTAATACTGCATAGTTATTTACGTTTCATCCGCTCTATACGGGCCGATGTTTTAATGTATATGTGCATAGAAAATAATTATACCGGCATGAACAGGCATTGGACAGATGCGTGGCGGTATAGTTATATAGTGTTATGTAATAATATATTGGTATATATTATGTCACTTATGTCCATTCTTGTGGGTCCTAATCCTGGATACCGCGTTGGTATTTAGTTTGATCTAGCCAATATATCAAGTGTAGTGGACGACAACAATCTTCAAAGTACACAAAACCCTGTAAATGTATTGTGAAATTCGCTCATACCCAGGCGGCTGTGATTTTCGTTAAGTCAACTGCAGTTGCAACTGTTAATTTTCTCAGATTAAATACGGGTTATTCGAGTGATAGATTTGAAAAGCGTTAATTTAATTTTCGTCATGCGTTCGAGGAGAAAGACTTTTAAAAATAAACTATCACCTTCATGGGTAAGAATTTTCGATGTTTGATATTTTTTCAATGTGTAAAATTGAATTCTATGTACGAATTGTATGGATATTGTTATTCTGGTGAGGGTTACCGACAGATTTTATGGTACTATAGTGGCCTAAAATTGACACAATTATTCGGTCCGAACACTGAAAAATGTAGCTGATACCTAAGTTATATTATTACAGTAGTAATAATATTAATTCTAACTGAGTTTAGAGGTGTAATCTTTAAAATATTTAGTTTTGATCGCATTTTATAGTTCAATGCGCATCAGCTGCTGCCGTCGTTGGCTGCTGATCCGCTGACAGTATAATACTATACCACTAATAAAAACGTATTAAGGACATAGTAATTGATATGGTATAAGTAGTAATTTTAATATACACAATATATGTGATGTGCAATGGTGTACGTAAAATACTATAAATTGTATTGAACGTTCGAGGTACAGTAGGCCAATATTTATACATTTTAATTGAACTTAACAAACTTTGATGCTGTATATTGTTTTGCATTCACAAAAAATGTAATAAATTTCATATATTAAATTAATAATGCTTACATAATATTAATCTAAATCTAATGATTAACTGATAAAAATAAATAAAATAAAATAATTTCTTGTATAAAAACGTGAAATTAATATTAAATAATATTATATTCAAAACCAGGTGTCCAATTTTTATTAAAATTTGGAGTCTATACATTTAATATACTATAACAACTTAACGAATGTATTTGAAATCTCTATACCTAAATAAAATAAAAATGTTGTTTATCGTAATGAAAAAAAGAAAAACTTTCTTTAAAGAGAAAAGGAAACAATGTAATAGTTTGAAAAATGAATTAGTCGTTTTATAATTTCCGTTAAAAAACCTGCGGTATACAATAAGTCAAGAAAATGTACTTTACTCTAAATTCATAGTCCTCGATATTATTGACTTGTAAGACGTATGTAGAAAGTGTAAATAAAAAAAATAGCTCAGGTACTAACACTAAAGGAGAGGGGGTGGGTTAAAAATACCGTAGAGTACAATCAAATTGTAAAAATTACTTGAAATCGTACCCAAAATTTAATCAAAAAAATAATAAAATAAAAATTTGAAAACTGAATTTGTCGTTACTTCATGCAAGTTTTCTATTAAAAAAATTATACACCGCGCAATAAGCTAAAACAATGCGATTCGCTATAAACTCAAAAACCAATTATAACAGAGTGAAACAGTCATAGTATATACCGAGTCAGTTTAAATAGCGATATTATAATGACTATAGTATTATAGTATCAAATTTTTTATTTCTCTTAAGATGTCATCGAAATAGTTCGCGAAAAAACCTCGGAGGGGAGGAGAAACCCCCGGGGTGAAAATAATAATATGTTATCGTTATCTCGTTATTCTCATAATATATCGCGTGTGTTTTTCAGGCGTTAGTCTTTCGACCGTCGGACGCGTGAGCACAACCGAGACGGGACGACTGCACGACAGCCATTGCCCCAGACCTCAAACCAGTGACCGACGCGGGGCGACTGTCATGACGTCCGACCATCGTCGCAGACACCTCCGACAGCACTACCTCCACCATCACCACCACCACCACCACCACCATCAAAACCACCATCAACACCATCGCCGCCGCCATCAATCTCACTGCGGTCACTTCGAATGGCATCAGGACCACGGCGTCCGGTGTCGCGGGCCAGCGCTGGTTACCATCCTGGCGCTGTGGGCCGCGGTGGTCTGCGTTACGGTGCCCGCGGCCTCGCCGTCGCCGGCCACCGGTGACATGAGCCTGTTGACCATGCAGCGGATCAAGTCTTACGTGGACGATACGTGCACGATGGACCCGCACTGTCAGTGGACGTGGGACCCGCTGCCAAACGGGTTGCGGAACGTGTCCGCGGAAGAGGCGGCAGCTGAAGTACCGGAAGACTACCTGTATCCGCCTGGCGAAGATCCCGACAAGCCGGGACTACGAGGTGAGCTGATTACTTCGATTTTTTTTCCTCGTTGTATCGTTCGAATAGCGCGCGTTTTGGAGTTTAGAAATCGATCTATACATCGAACCCCTTGAAAACGATAACTGACAGATCGAATCTTCCCGTGAAATACGCTGCTGTTATAAAGTCTACTCCGTCGTGTTACGGCGAACTTTGTCCAGCAGAACCGATTTTTTGTTATTGTACATAGATCAATGCAAAATGAGGAATGAAAAGGACCGTAGAGTGTAACAGTGCAGAGTACCTAAAATGCACTTGTACTGTATTATTAGTTTGACGTGTGAATAATAAACCTTTAAATCGATTGAACGATCGTTATAAATCATTAAGTACCTACGATTATTGGTAATACGAAAAGGTTGAATGTGGAATGCGGCGAAGTTTAGTAATCCGTAGAACCTATAGGGTATAATTTCGTGATAGTATTAGATATCAGGGTATTATTCTTATACTCTACTGTTGATTGTGGTGTAATTTATTGTATGTTATTACTATTATTTAATAATGAAATAAATACAACGTTTTAGTTTTCAACTACGATGTTGAAATCGATAAGTCTACTCGGCGATAAAATAAATAAGTGATGACTTTTTTCGTATTCAATTAATAAGTCCCACAATATTCATAAGAAAGTAAAGTACGAGTATATTACTTATAATTTATTATTGTACATAATATATCAACAAAATAAATAATTTTATGACTAATAATATTATGATATTAGCCTCACATCTTAACTCTTATGTTTAACTATGAATGCTGTTTTCGGACAAACATACATCTAATTTAGAATAAAAAATCTTAGTAGGTAAGTAAAAAAATATATTCAAAGTTACAAAATTTTATTTATAGAATTTTTAACTGAAATTGATTAATTATTGTTGTTGTTATTTCTTTTTTTTTGTTAAGTCTTAATTAAAATTAAAATAAACGTCTTAATTTGACGTAGAATAATTTTTTTTAATTTTTAAATTTGATCATCATTAAAAACTCATTCTTTAAGTTTAAATATATATAATTTGACGTTTAATATCCTGAGCAATTTAATGTTTTGAGATAGGTATCATTTTTTTTTTTTTTTGTTCTGAATACGCGATACAAGTATTTATTTAACACTATATTTCCTCAAATAAATAACCTAGAACATGATTTATAATTTAAAAAAAAAATATTACGTAATATATTACACGCTGTTATACAATAACTTTTTATAATTTTGTAAAACATGTTTGAAAAAGTGTTCAAGTTGTGTTGTAGTTCTGTATTTAATAAAGTCAACACACGTGTACAGGTCGATTTAATCAATATTCTATCTTGAAATGGTGGTGGGTGTTTATTTCTTTTGATTTATTATAACTATACATCTACATTATTATATGTGTTCTTGAAAAAAATTGCAATTTAAGTAATATTTTATAATTATTTATCATTTAATTGATATATTTTGTATTTTTTGGAATACCTTTGATTACCCGATCGAAAAATGACCGTTAATTAGTTACCTAACAATTTGTATAATTGACAATTAATCGACTTAAAAACATATGACTGTATTTTAAAATTCTACATGAGAAACGTCGTCTACACTTTTAGAAGCAAAGTAACAGTGTTGAAAGTACAAATAAAGATATTAAAATTCGAGGAAATGCTTGGTAAATTTAATAAATTAATAAAATTGTAAAACGTATTCAAATTGGCCAGCTTAAACAAAAATAAATAATAATAATATAGGTATTGTTCAGATTAATAAGTAACCATTTGAGGAATTGTTTGGGCGGAAAGCTCAACTTGGACTCGATTCACTCCTTCCTGGTAGTATATTCAAAATATTAAATTCAGCAAGGATGTTGAAATATTTTCGTAAACGAAAATGATATAACATTAAATATATTTATAAAAATAAAGATGTATAATGCAACTTCTCTCTATGTTATAACTGGTGAGATTACAATAATAATAATAATAATAATATGATAAAATATGAATGTATTAGGTATATATTTTATTTATACAAATAAAGTTTAAATAAATATTTGTGCGTAATTTTAAGGTAATACATTATATAGTAAAGCTTTTGTATAAAGATATTGTATAGTTATAAATGCATTTGTAAAAAAGAAATATCATAATGTCATATATAGTTACTTTAAATCTCTCCAATTAATTATTCACGTTCACGAGGTTACGATTATGTTCATGTAGTGAAACACTTAAATCTATTATTTCGTGATATGTATAATTATAGAGTAGAAGTGAGGGTGTCTTTCAACGAAATTACATTTATTTATTTGTGTGCTATCGTCGTATATTTGACGGATCTATATAGTACAGCTTTTGGTATAGTTTATTACCAATAGTGGGTTTTAGACACCTGTGATTATTCTTCATTTTGGTTAATTGCACGTCTATCTTCTTCACATGTGCAGATGGTTTCCGTGATGGACAGGCGTATTCAGCTACCGAGTAGCTGCAGAGTATGTACTTAAGTGGTTGTTCTAAGAGGTCTGTATACCACTTGATATGAACTAGTTTTTCAGCTAGTGATTTTTAATGTATACTTTACCGTTCGTATTTTCGAAGCGTTATATTATCAATCTATGTAAAACTACTTCAAAGTTTTTGGAAAATTGTGAATGGTTTAAGGTCACTCCTTCTACAACATATACAAAGTTCTTATTCTGTTTATTTATTTTTTTAGTTGATAAATATATGTCTACATCTTTGTAGAGTTGAATTTGAGTTGGTTTTCGTATAATATATGAATATGATTTTTAAGAATTAAGTAAATATTCTTCTTTAGTTTCTTCAAAAGTCACAAATTATGCTATTATTAATAGGGACGCCGTCAGCATTCAACGTTTATATAATAACGCAACGTATAAATTGCATACAATATGTGTTGTAAAATATTTGGTGTAGATTTGAAAACCTCTAATAGTGGTGGAGCCTACATTTTTCTGAAAAAAATGCAACTTATTTTTTAGTACAAAATAAATTATAGATAACATTGTAGATAAGATGTGATAGTAATATTAATAACTTTATTTATGGGCTTCAAGATGTGTAAATTATTTATTTCATGTCATATATTATAATAAATAACATTTCCTAAGAGAGGGTAGGGGGCTAAAATTTACCTGTATTCATGCTTGAGTATATGCATACTGTATACAACGTACCAAATGTCGTTGAAAAAAATGTTTTAATGTAAACATTACGTAATAATATTAGATTTTAGTTATTACTGTAATAACATTTTCCATTTTTATATATTGCTTTTGTATTATTATTAATAATAATTTTGTAATTTATTATATTATAAATATTTTAGTGGAGTGATTATTAAATTTAAAGATGAAAGCATCCGTATTTGTGTGTTATTTTTATGATGTTTCAATTATCAAACGAGTTATGAGTAGGTATGCTAATATTAAATATTATAATTCATAAATGCTTATAACTTTCTTACAAATTAAAATATTGTTAGTATCAAAAGTCTAAAAAAATAGATGTTTTTACCTTTAAATTGCTTAAGATATATACTGTAATATAAAGCTAGTTAACAACACAAAATTGGTTCTGCTGCTCAACAAAAATTTTCCATAGTGTAAAATTGTGTGTGATAGAAATAACACTGAATATAAGTGGGTGTTCTTCAAATTATAGTATATTACTAAGTTCTGATCGTGTGTTGTTAATAAAATTATTTAATATGAAACTTCTGTTTTTGTCTATTCAATATCTTTTTTTATGTGTATTGAAAGTGCTTAGTAAAATTAAATGACTTGGTGTTATTAAAATAAAAACAAAAAAATAAAAAAAATACGCTTCAATATTTTATGACTTATATGTATTTAAAATTACGAGTAACAAGAAAGACGTAATAAAATTTTAAACGTGGTGACTGGTAATATTAATATAAAATGTTACATAAATTATATGTAGGTACTATAAACAAGGATAAAATATTAAACTTTAATTTGAGATAAATATGTCATAGTTTAGTGATAAATAAAATTAACCAAACAATTACGTTTCCATTACAATATTTAAGTACCTATTATTAAAAATTTTAAAACGATCACGATTGTTTATCACACTGATAGCTGATAGCTCATACCAATCATAGTAAATTAGTAAAAATGGCGGAATACATAGATACATATGTTTTAACTTTTATTTAATATTAAATATTAATTGTTCTTACTTACCTATAATTTTGAAATTTAAAATTATAACAACAATTGAATATTTGTAAATACGTAAAAATATATATTTTTTATAAGTATAAAGTTTAATAGTATTACGTTTTAAATTAAATTGTTTATCATCCAAAATTAAAATAATAATACTGCTTACAACAAAAAAGTTAAAACGGTACCTATATAAATGTTTTGAATACAACTGCATACATCTAGATGAAAAAAAAGGATTTTAGTTTTAATATTTAGTCTTTCGATTGTTGAATTTGACATAAAATCCATCTTAACCGAATTGAAATATTAAAAGATTTAGAAGTCTTAAATATTTAGGGTTTAAGTAGAAAGTCACAATAAATTATGAAACATTTAAAATCTTTGTCGCATGGATAAATATTTATAATTTAACTTAAATGTGAAAGTTGTCAGTATAAAATATTTCTTAACAATATAATTCGACATTTATTGTTTAAAAATGAAAAATACTTATCGATTATTAAATGGTAGATTAGAATTATATCAATAATTAAACTATTGTGAATACAACAAATCTATCGTAAATCGTAATAACGTACAGTGTACATGAATTTCAAGCGATAATTTATTAACATATTAATACATTATTATAACATAGTACTTTAGATTTATTGTACTATGTTTCTCAATTTCAAGTTTAATTACTATCAATAGAAATCAAAAGCTTTATCGTTTTTATTTTTCACAAAAATATCTGATGCGTATTTATTAATTCTCTTTCATTTCATCACCCATTAAAATTGT